GCGTCCAGACGTGCTACCCGATCTTTTTCATCCATCATAAAATTGAAGAAAGATACGGTTAAAAAGACTTCGAAGTGGTGTCATAAGTATTAAAGGTCTTTAAGAGAAAAAGGAAGCTCGGCCATACCAATGTTTGTGTATGGATCGACCTCGAAGCCAATGACCCTAGCTTCTCGTATATGCTGGAACCTGGCCTTCATTACTGGATCGGTGATTTTCTGGATAATCTGTTCAGCATCAGGGCAAGTTAGTGCCAGGTCGAGGGCTTCTTGACATGCCTTAGGCAAGCCGTACAAGTCATTGACAGAATGTTCCTTATGAACTTCTTACATGTACTCCAAGGATTCGCCGAGGAATGGAGGGTGTAGATTCCGCCGGGCCTTTATTAATGGCTCTTGCAGGGGCAATGGGTGAAGCTTGCTTTCGGTTTCTTTTATGAAATGCTCGAAATGAGCTTTCATCTCCCCAGGCCGAAGAAAGAGTTTGATGCGTTTCTCGAACTTTTCAATTGTGGTTTCAAAGTCACGATCAACTACCTTTTTCTCTTGAAGTAATTCAGCCATGATGGTCAGGGTTTGTCAATCAGTATCACTTCCTATTGCCTCTTTTGGCTGTCATTTGGTAGGCGGAGTAGCATGTGCTGCTTGTCGTCGAGCCATGCAATCTATCCGCTAGCGTCAACATTTTTTAGATTTAGATAGTGCAGTATACATGCGAGTGGGAGAGTTGTAACTGTACCAACGTTGGTTGCGTGGCTCAAGCGGCTTGAAGGTTTTTTTATTCGTCAATGAACTCGAGCTACTGGAATTACGCGAGTAATAATCCTTGTTATAAGACGGCGCATCGAAATCAGGACGTCGTCTGGCCGAGGTAGGATCGTCTGTCCATTCCTGAGGGTCGAGCCTATCGAACACTTTCTGGCACTGGCCTCCGCCAAGGTTCCTTTGGAGGTGTCACTGCGGACTTGTATGGTTGCCGTGATGTTGGTCTCTCCTTCGGTTCAGTTAATACGACGCTTGCCCTACAATTACTGCACAAAACCATCAGCCCGTCAGTTTCTTCTGCACTGGAGTCTGATATAGATTCGACTACGGCTGGTCCCGAAAACTCGGTGGGCGGTTCATTGGAAAATAGATCAATTTTGAGTCGTGGCCAAAGAGTTTCGCTTTGGTACGTGTTGTACTAAGACAAACTCGACCTTCCCTTTCCCTTTGCTCTTGGGTAAATAGGCGTCTACCATGCCAACTGTTGCCGAAAGGAATGGATCAACGTCGACCACCATTTGTTTTTCGGGAAACTTTAGCTTGCCCTTGTTAATCCAGCTTTGAATATCATCACGGAATACGACACAGTTGTTCATGGTATGCTTAGTCGAGTTATGGTACTTGCAATAGGTCTTTCCTTTAAGCTCTTCGGCCTTGGGAATGTTATGTCCTAGCCGAAGTTTGATAATCTTTGCTAACAACAATTGATCGAAAATTGCATCGGCCTTGGTGATATCAAAAGTGTAAACTTTTGAAGTTTTCACCGTCTCTTCAGTGGCCAAGCGGGTTTTAGCATCCTTGGAATTAATTTAAGTCAATGCCTTGCAGGCATATGGTTTATCTATTACTATCTCGGTCGTCCATGCTGACGTATTAGGAATCTCTGCATTTGGCCGATGCGTAGCTGACCGTGGGATTTTTGTAAATCATTCCTCGAGATGGGAACTTCGAGATCTTTTCCTTTCAGAATAAATAATCATATTGCTTGACATGTTGGGCTAATTCGTAGATATCTCGGAAGTTTGCCCTTAGGAATTTCTTTTTGTACTCTACGTCTAGCCCATTCAGAGTAAGCCTAACAAATTCGACTTCGGGAAGAAGTACTTGGCACCAATTCCTGGCCAATTTAAACCTGGTAAGATAGTCCATCGATGACTCATCAGATGCTTGAGCTATCATAGCCAATGAAGAAACTGACATTTCTATCCCCGGCCGATAGAATTGTTCGTGAAATTTCTGGAGCAGCTCCTCCCAACTCTAGATGGAATTGGGTGGGAGGTTAATATACCATGCGAATGCTGAGCCCATCAATGAAAAGTTGAATAGTCGGAGTTTATGGAAATCATTATTGACATCTCTACATTGCGCAGTGAACCGGGCCACATGTTCTAACGAGGACAAGGAAGACTCTCCAGCAAAAAGGCTGAAATCTGGGATCTTGAAGCTTTTAGGATATTTGAATTTTTCAACATAAGCTGGATATGGATGGATGAATTTCGGGAACTTCAGCCCCTTTTTCATGGCTGAATCGATTATCTTTTTGGACCTCGATCATATTGATGGATGCTACTTCCACTCTCTGGTCGGATCCATCTGACCTACTACTTGATCCTTCATTTTTTTTCCAAGTTAATTGTTTTGGGCCAAGTAGATCCTGCTTTGGCAGGTAGGGGATTACTTTTTAGTGGAAATTATAAAGACTGATCAGCAGGTCCCCCTACGAAGACTCTGCTAACTAATAATTCAAGCAATTGGGTGTGGGTCTCACCATTACTTCGTATTACCTCGAGTAAACTGTTCATTTTTTAGATAACTGTTTGTTTAACCTACCGAGATTGCTTGTCAAGTCGTCTTCGAAGAAACGACCTAGTTGGAAGGTCAAAGCCTTCACTACCAGTCCTCCACTATTCTTTCAATGAAAACGCATGCAGTTCGGTTGGGTACTTCTGTGTTTCGGGGCTGGGTATCGAGACAAACTTCATTTTCTCGGTGTGTCACACTTGTAGCCTCAGGGATTATAGTAACGAGTGGATTTTGCGCATGTGACACTTCTTGTCCAGGACTATGAACTGGCGGATCGGTCGTTGACTTTCCCATTATTGTTTTCTTTTTAACCGATCGTGTCTCGATGGACATGAACTTCGTAGTTTTAGCATTTGTCCCACTGGGCGTGCCAAAATGTTGACCCTAAAAACTACCAAGCCCACGTGGCGCGCAGGCAGAGTAATTAATAAGTTAACTACATCCTTTGGTTATGTGCGGGGCGTGCCAACTCGATGGCCAAGCTCGGCCGGTGAATAAAATGAGTTGATGTTACGTTGAGCGCGCTGCTGACTTCTTGATCTTGCAATTACGGTCGAGGAAGGAACACGTCTCGGCCTTTGAATTCTAGAGCCTGAAGACAAGGCTACTAGTTTTGCAAAGTTCATAAATCGTCGATGCCGGATTTGGTCACAGTGATTATATTTGTAAAGGTATAAGCACGCCGAATCAACACCAGAGTATAGGGACACAGATACTCAAAACAGATATATGTCTTGATGGTAAATGTGGTTTGGTCGTCAGAATGCCGAACTCTAAATCTAACTTGTGAGTATCCAATCATAAAACAACTCAGCATTCAATGTGCCGAGCCCAGTAATTCATAACGCCTCACTTCGACGAGAAGGCTAATGAGATGACCTCTGCCAATAAGGATTCGAAAATCCATCTCAATCGAGACTTGGATAGATAACCAGTCGGCCTCGACGCAGTGCTGTTTATCCAAACTGAAGGTGCTCCGGGGTCGGCTGATTCTACGGCAACAGTGTTGTTTATCCAAACTGAAGATGTTCATCGGTTGCCTTCACAGTGCTGTTTATCCAAACTGAAGATGTGTTGGCGAAAAAGAAAATAAAAATCTCAAGGTTGTTTAGAGGTTTCACGTAGAGTGAGGGTTTGCGCAGGGCAATTTGTGTGTTGAATTGGAGGGGGCCTTCAATGATGCACTCCTCCCTCTATTTATAGTAGCAAACCTATTTCTGATCGAATCAAAACTACACTTGGATTAGGACTCCTTACCCCGATCCAATCTTATCTCGGCCAGTCCTACTCCTATCAGGACTTTGAACTCAACCCCTTATCAGGTCGCATTCATTCCCAAGTTTCAACATCCTTATCATGCAGAGACTCCTTATTATATTAGGATTCAACCACCCCATCCTAATAGGACACGGCTGGCCCCTGAGCAACGCTTCCGGGCCGAGAACAATCCTAAGCGCGGCCCAAACCAATATTTTGGGCCTAAACACTATCAAATTCTTAAAATTCAACCCTGCCTGATAAATTGATTGATGATCATTTTGATTCAATTGCAAACTTGTGCAGTTGCAGCTCCAAAAAGGGCAGCAACGCCCTGCCCTACAACTCCAGCTCTAGCTCCATCACCGACCACCTTCTTTAGCCCCCACCAACTTGTTAATTAGTTTTTTGTTAATTGGGTTTGATAAAATTATGTTAGTCCAGATTTCATTAATTTTTGGATTAAAATTTGGCACTTGGAGTGGATAATGGAGTTAATTTTTGGTTCTTTGCTCAATGTTCTGTGCTTAAAATAAGTATTATACAATCATACTTCCTCAGGTTTTTGTTATATGGAAACATTACATATTTATGGCATCAACTTGTGTCCACCAGTGTTCCTTTTCTCAGCCGGGGAAAATTGTTTTGCATAACTGTTGGGATCTATTTGCTCGTTATTGCAATAACAAGCCTAAGCTGAAGAGAAATAACAGGTTGAATGATATGAATTAGGATTTGTTGTTATAGGTTCTTCGTGGTTGTGTCTCCTTTTTTGTCATCCATTTCAAATGAGCCCAAAAAGAAGGGACAAGAAATGGGAGTGTAAAGGAAAACTAGAACAAGAAAGAACACGTTCTAGTTTGGTTTTGTTGTTCCAATATAAAGCTCTCATCCTTGTTTTAGTTTGTAGTTAGAAGTTGAAATATGATTATAAGAATTGTGAGTGTAAAGGATAAGTGGCTCAAATTAGGGGTAGGCAGGGGCCAGGCCGGGCCTATTTTTGAAGGAACTGGACCGGATCCGGAATAAAGGGAGACGGGCCGGGCCAAGCCGGGCATTACAAATCTTAAAGTAGGAACCGGACCTTACCCGGCCCGGTTGAAACGAGCTGGTTCGGTTCGGGTCCACGGGTCCTATTTTTTATTTTTTTTTCCTGTTTAAAGCACAGATTGAAAAAAAAAAAAAAACATCATCAAAACTGTGAAACATGGAAATTGAGTACCTTGTATGGCTTGAGCAGACCCATACAGATTTGCACTCGTCTTCTCTGACCATCGGACACCTTGTGCAACCGCCATGAAAGATCAATATCCAAAACCTTTATCAGCTCTGCTCTCCTTTGTGGGTCGATCCCCGCAACCCCATTGATCAACTTATCAGCCGAAACGTCCATTTGAATCGGGACATCAAACCCGGCGAATGCGACATCTCGCCGCCACTCTCCGCCGAGATACGAGAGGTCGCCGGATCCGGTCAAGGCGGTGTCGTGAAACGCCGACCTTCCTAGCACGCGAACCATGTGGGGCTCGACCATGTGCTTGCCGCCCAGGATCTTCAAGATCGTGGTTTTCCCCGCGCCGTTGGATCCGACGAGGAGGCATCGGTCGCTGGCGTTAAAGGTGAGATTGAAGTACTTGATCAGCGGCTTGGAGCCCGGCGGCGGGTGGCCGTTGATTCCTGGGTAGGTGAATTTTAGGCCGTTGATCTCGATCGACGGCTCGGAGTTTGGATTCACACCCATTATCGATGATTTTTAGCAGAGAGATGAGATTAAGAGAGAGAGAGAGGATTTCAATTTCCCCATCCTAATTCATTGCATGCATTCAAAAATTAAAGCCACATAAAACAAAGAAATTCACTATAAATTGAATGAAAAAAAGGAGAGAGGATTTCAATTTCCCTGGATCGAGGTTTGATGATGGAGGCGACAGACGGAGCTGATGCTGACGGCGGCGGACGAAGCTGAGACAATGAGATCGAGTTGGGAAAAAGGAAAACGGAGTGACTGAGGGAGGGAGGGGCTGAAATGAGGATAATAAAACCAATTATTCCTTCCTAGAAACGGGCCGGGCCGGGGGCCCGTTCTCTCTTATTTCTAGAACCGCCCCGCCCCGCTAATTTCGTATACCCGCCCCCGCCCCGCCCCGTTTTGTGTTTTGAAATTTTAGACCCGCCCCAAATCACGGGTACCCGCCACGACCCGCGGGTCCAGGACCCGTTTGCCCACCCCTAGCTCAAATTCACCTGTTATATTTTTTTGGAGTTGTTTCATTGATTTCTCAATTTTTTTTTTCCAAGAATTGCTTATATTTAGCTTTGTACCTCAGTTCGGAATTGCTTATATTTAGCTTTGTACCTCTGTTTGTCCATTGGAGTTCTGCTACTTTGGTGTTGGAATGAAGTAAATTACATTTAATATTTTTTTTATACATCATTGATCTTTTTTTTTTATTATTATTCTGCTTGTTAGTCTGACACATCAAATCCTTCACTAAATCAGTTTAGTGTAGTCTATTCTAAGCCAGTCCAACTTAGTCTCATAAGATAGTCCAGTTCGCGATAGTTTAGTACAATAAACGCACCTTTAGAGTTTTATTTTTTTGTCCGATAGATACGTATTGCATGTAGTGTGTGTGAGTTTGGTACATGTAGCGTTTTGATCAAATTAAGCGTGTACACAGCCTTTTCGGTGGAAGGACAATCATTCAAATCAACTTGAAATTTCAAATTTGTAAACGTGGTTTATGCTAAAACCAGGAGCCTACTTTTTTTTTTTTTGGGAAGAATATTAGGTAAGAGATGTTTGTATGTGACAGTTTTGTCACGTTTTACAAATTTAGGAAATTTTTTCAATTCAGATGGAAGACGTGGCCATGAGACTTGGCTTACTCTTATTGTTTGTGTGGTAACGAAGAAAATGCTTGTTTGGTAACGAACAAATCCAAAATTTTTTGTTCTGACATGATGAGTGTATAAAAGATTTCTTTTGTTTTCCTAGAAATGACATGATTCTTTGCAAAATTGTGAGCACCCATGAAAACTTTTATCTAAAATATAGGATTTAAAGTGACAAAAAAAAAGAATAAAAGTTCTAACGAAATTAACTAAAATGATCATTATTTTACGATGTAACAAACTTAGATACCTTTTCTTCGGTTTTTTGGGGGTGGGGAAGCGTTCCCACCAATTTATCCTCATGAAAAACAGACACTAACGGTCCTCCAATTACTATTAATTAATTGGACCTTCATAACCAAACCTATAATAGAAATAAAGACGAGACTATGACTTATCAATTATTGGTACACAGGTCACATCCAATGGGTCCGATCTTGATCAGACACATTTACAAATCTGCTCTCTCGCTTCCATCTCTGGCCACTCTCTCTTTCGCCACCACAGCACCATCAAACAGGGGTCTGTAGACTCCTCCCGAGTAAGCCGACAGCTCGAGGAACATCAAGGAACGTTGTGCGATGGGGGAAATGGCAAGAGCGTCTGTGGTTGGCTTCAAAGGTCAAAGTTTCATTTTGTTTTGGATTCTGCATGCATTTGGTTTGGATTCTTTAAAAATCGTTTTTTATTTGAATTGGATTTGCTGCATTTTGATTGAAAATTTGAAAGTCAGTTGATGGGTATATTGGGAAGGGTAATGGAGAGTGAAAGAAAGGAGGTGGTGGGGGAGGCTGGTTGAGGTGGCGTACTGCCGCTGGCCGTTGCAGTCATCTAAATTATTGAGTATCTTAGTCCAAATCCACATCTCAATTCCAATAAACTTTTTTTCATAATTACAAAACAATTAAACGAAATTCATCTAAATTGTTGAGAAACTTGAACTTAGGGTGCATGAGGGTGCTCTAGAGTTTTAGCAAACTTAGCTGAACCCAAGTCTGCTAATCCAAATGTACTTCAATTCAGATTAATGTACACATTACCTGCTAAAATTTACTGTTTGTCAGATCAGAGAACACACACTTTTGTTGAGCCCACCTTGTAATGTATTTCAACGATCAAACCATTTATCTTTTAGATCTTCTCTTAAAGATTTTGTTACAAAAAATCATCTAAATTCGAAACAACATGACTGTTGGATTAAATTATATTCATTTGAATGATTCTTTGCAAAATTGATTTCGTCCATTTTCCATACTACAAATAAATTTCTTAATGGTTTTGGAATTATTAGGATGATATATTCATATATAATTTCATAAGAGTATACATTTTTAAAAATTGATTGAATAACAAAGAAATTTAAGTAGAGCAAGTGGTTTTGTTGTTTGAAATTAATGAGAACTTCCTGAATTCAAAAGACCATGTATGTTTATTTACTTTTCAATTTTTACTAATTCTACCAACTGATCGAAAAGTTTGACCATAAGTGGTGGTATACATTATATAAAATTATCAAGGAATAAGAATATAAAAATTTGGCCAACTGATTGAAAAGTTTGACAATAAGTTGTGGTTTACGTTATTTAAAATTATCAAGGAGCGAGGTCCTGGGTGTGAAACACTATGTGTGTTTTAACTTTCCAACTTTTACTAATTTATTTTCATAAGAGCTTAAAATTATAAAATTTGGCTAAATGATCAAGAGGTTTAATCAAAAGCAACGGTTTTTGTTGTTTAAAATTAACGAGATATCCTAAGTTCGAAATGCTATGTGCATATTTATTCTTTTCATTTTTACGGATTTCTGTTTGGTTGTTTATTTTTTTTAATTACTAGCTAAATAGCTATGTGGGTTGCAATTTTTAAACATTAGTTCCAATTCAAGTCTAACTTTCAATAAAGAGTAATGCGTAGACAAAATTTGCAAATCATATGACGTGTCACTGATATGTTTAATTTAGTGCCCATTCATTGCTTATACATATCAATTAAAGACTAGAAAACATCATTAATTTTTTAGTCCCATATTGACAAGGTTAATTTAATGCCCGTTCATTGATTTCTCAATTATTTCCAAGAATTGCTTATATTTAGGTTTGTACCTTGGTTCGGAATTGCTTATATTTAGCTTTGTACCTCGGTTTGTCAATTGGGGTTCTGCTACTTTCTTGGTGTTGGAATGAAGCAAATTACATTTAATATTTTTTATACATCATTGATTTTTTTTTTCTTTTCATTATCTTGTTTCTTAGTACAACACTACATCAAACATTTCATTAAATCAGTTCAACTTAGTCTATTCTAAGTCAATCCAGCTTAATCTCAGAAGTTAGTCCAATCCGAAATAATTCGATGCAACAAACGCTTCCTTAGGGTTTTATTCTTTTGTCTAATAGATGCGTATTGCATGTAGTGTGAGTTTGGTACAAACTTGAAATTTGTAAACGTGATTTATGCTAAAACCAAGAGCCATTAGGTAAGAGATGTTTGTATGTGAGTTTTGTCACGTTTTACAAATTTAGGAAATTTTTTCAATTCAGATTGAAGACGTGGCCATGAGACTTGGCTGCTCTTATTGTTTGTGTGGTAACGAAGAAAATGCTTGTTTGGTAAATGACATGATTGTTTGCAAAATTGTGAGCACCCGTGAGAACTTTTTTCATAAATTTTTTTTTTTTTTTTGTGTTTTTGGGGGGGGGGGGGTTGAGGTGGTGGACTGCCTCTAGCGGTTGCAGTTGTGGATGCAAATTTCCGCCTTCTTCTTCTTGGACAAAATTGCACCTACAAAACAATTAACACCTTAGGTAAAGGCCAAGAGCTTCACGCGCCCATGATGAATGAGGGGGCTTTGGCCGAAGAACCTCCGATGCCAAAGTTAGAATTTAGAGAGAAAAGTATTTGGAGAGTTTTTAGGAATTTTGCAAGAGTGTGGAACCCTTTTTTTAGAAAAAATAGGGTCATATGTATAGGGAATGGAGGTGGCTGGTCCTTAGAGGTTTTGTGTGTGAAAATGGGTGATTTAATTAGTGATTAATGGATTTGTTAGGAATTAATCCATTAATTAGCCAATTAATCTCCATTTATATGGAATAATTTGTAGGTTATGAAGTAATTACCTAAGATGAGGATGGATGAGATAATTTGGAATAGGTTACCTTTTTTGGACACTCTTGGCTTGATTAAAGAATGATTGTCCACTGCTCGCGTGTCACCTTGTGATTATTTTTTGCTCCACAGCAGTCATCTAAATTATTATCTTAGTCCAAATCCACATCTCGATTCCAATAAACTTTTTTCATAATAACAAAACAATAAACTAAATTCATCTAAATTATTGGGAAACTTGAGTCTACTAATCCAAATGTACTTCAAATCAGACTAATATGTACATTACTTGCTAAAATTAACTGTTTGTCAGATCAGAGGACACACATTTTTTGTTGAGCCCACCTTGTAATGTATTTCAATGATTCAACCATTTGTCTTTTAGATCTTCTCTTAAAGATTTTGTTAGAAAAAATTATCTATAAATTCGAAACTACATGACCGTTGGATTAAATGATATGATTCTTTGCAAAACTGATTTCGTCCATTTTCTATACTACAAATGAATTTCTTAATGGTTTTGAATTTGTCTTTTTTTTTTTTTTTTTTTTGCAAAGATGACATGTGAATGATAAACTGAAATATAGATAGTTTAGATCCTTGAAAGAAGTTACAAAATGAGAACTATAAAAAAGTGTTTTAGTATGGTTGTCTTTTGATCCTCACCAGGGCCACCCCGGCCCAAAAAAATTGAGGGCACCAAAATTATTGGGATGGTATATTTATATATTTTTTCATAAAAGTATGAATTTTTAAAAGTTGATTGAATAACAAAGAAATTTAAGTATAGCAAGTGGTTTTTGTTGTTTGAAATTAAGGAGGATGTCTTGGATTCAAAACACCTTGTATGTTTATTTACTTTTCAATTTTTACTAATTCTTTTAATTGAAAATTTGACATTACCCCTTGAAATTATGTTTTCCTTGACTAAAACCCATGTCATCTTGTTTACTTGATTAAAGCCCATTGACTAGGTTCCAACTAAGCAAATTCTTTAATTAAGTTTGAAGATTGTGGCACAAGTTGTAAATATTTTGTAATAATAGGTCAATTACTTTTCTACGTGACAATGTTTTTCAAATTTGGGTTTTGTTTGGATGTTTAGAATTAGATGGGTTTTTATCTAGGAAAAAAAAGTTGCAATGGTCTATATCTAAAGAACCCATCTTTTAATAAGAATATAAAAATTTGGCCAACTAATCGAAAAGTTTCATCATAAGTGGTGGTTTATGTTATTTAAAATTATCAAGGATGTCCTGGGTTTGAAACAGTATGTGTGTTTTTTTACTTTCCAACTTTTACGAATTTATTTTCATAAGAGTTTAAAATTATAAAATTTGTCTAAATGATCAAGATCAAAAGCAACAGTTTTTGTTGTTTAAAATTAACGAGAAATCCTAAGTTCGAAATGCTATGTGCATATTTATTCTTTTCATTTTTACGAATTTCTGTTTGGTTGTTAATTTTTTTTAATTACTAGTTAAGTGGCTATGTGAGTTGCAATTTTTAAACATTCGTTCCAATTCAAGTCTAACTTTGAACAAAGAGTAATGCGTAGACAAAATTTGTAAATCATATGACATGTCACTGATATGTTTAATTTAGTGCCAATTCATTGCTTATACATATCAATTAAAGATTAGAAAACATAATTATTTTTTTAGTCCCATATTGACAAGGTTAATATATAAGAAAAACCACATCACGATTTATATAATAACACTTTAAAAGTTTAGGTAGAAGGAAAACAAAACTCATCATCTATCTACTTATAAGCCGGGAGTTTTTTTGTTCCATTCTCCCGATACAAAATAAATTAGTTTTTTCATGTTTCTAAATTATTGAGTTTGTTTATGCTTTTCTAAGTATAATTTTATTGAAATCTTACGTATAAAAACAAATAATTTTTTTATATGAAGTTAGGACACATTTTTTGGTGTCGCCCTGGGCATAAAAAATCTCAGGACCGGCTCTGATTCTAACCCATATATAGTGTACAAGAATTGTTAAGAAAAACAAAAAAGGAAATTAATCTTAACCAAATTACAAATAGAAAATATATCTAAATTGGAAACAAACCTCACTAATTACAAGTAATTACAACATAAACCCAAATTTGTCTGCCCAACATCACTCGTATGGTCGAATTTTTAATAAGTTTGGACATTAGATAAATTTAGCTCAATCCAGTTCAAAAATCTAAGTTTGTTGCCGGTAAAATTGGACAAAATGTAGATAGAAGATAAATGTAATATTTTTATATCTAGTTTACAATGACCTTTTTGGAGCCGAGTTCTTCATGATATATATTTGTAGGGGTGTGCTATCCACACATCTCTTTTTACTTCTCACACACACCTAGTTAATTTCTACCATTTGATCTTCTTCAATTCACCCGATCTAACGGCCGAAACTTAGAAGGGTGTGTGAGAAGTAAAAATAGATGTGTGAATATCACACCCCATATTTGTAATGCCCTTTTATCAATAAATAAAATATCGTAATCTTCTTAATAAAAAATTAAAAATTTCACCGCAAAGTAACATTGACATATATCCGACACGACATTTTGTGAATTTTGGCTGGAAGTTAAAGAAAGTGACATGTTGGTAGTGTTTTGAACTGAAAATCTATCCAAGTAATTGCCAAGTTTTTGTATTCATTCATGCACAAGCATTAAAAACCTCAACGTGTATCTTTCCCAAAAAAAAAAAAAAAAACCTCAACGTGTGGTGTTTACTTGGACATGCAGTTCCTCTGAGCCCCTCCATTTGTCGGAACCCCTCCTCCATTTCCCTACGTTTCTCAGACCTCAAACACCAAAAATCCCACTTCCCCAAACTGAAACAAAACACCCCCCCAAAACCCATCAAATCCGCCATCGAAAACGGCACGTCGAACCACCAAGCTGCACCAGTATTGGACACTACTTCTACAACAATCACCATTAAAGGCATCCTCAGCTTGCTGCTGCAGAATGTCAATGAAAACGACGGCAGACGGCTGATTTCTTTGGGCATGGGGGACCCGACTGCCTTCTCTTGCTTCCACACGACACATGTATCGCAGGAAGCCGTCGTCGATGCCCTCCAATCCGACAAGTTCAATGGATATGCTCCCACTGTTGGTCTTCCTCAAACCAGAAGGTAAATTATTAATTTTGGTTTTTTCATTTCTGAGATTTTTTTTTGTTTAATTGTCATTAGTTGTCTTGTTCTTTCTCGTTACTATCGAATTCTTGTCCTAAGTGCTTCCAAAATTGGTTTCTGGATTCTTCTCTTGTTCTTGGATTTAACGGAGTTTGTTTTCAATTTGCATTTTTTAATGTTTTAGTTGAAAGTACTTTTATAGTTCCCTTCACATTTTTTTACTTCAACATACTTCATCAATTTGAATATTCATGATTGATTCTGTATCACCCTTTTTAGCGTTTCCGAGTAATCTGGGTTATAGCAATTTGCAAATTTGTGAAGTTGACAGAGAAAGTAGAAATTAGTATAAAGTAAGAAGGATGAAAAACCAAGAGAGTAGAAAAGTTCAAAAACCAAAAACTGTAATGGAAAAGACTATTAATTAATTTTTCGAGGAAATTTTGAGCCTATTTGGTAACTTTCTTGGATATAATCTTTTGTTTTGCGACCAATGAGTACTAAGTAATTTAGTTACATTCATCATCATTTTCGAAAACTATAAATTATTTTCAAGTTGAACACCAAACAAATCCGAATTACTTGATTGGATTTTTGGAGGGTTCCGGAGGGTTGTTCATTACCGACGGGGTGTGGTACAAATCAAGTAGAAGCAATACATGTGCCTCATTAGGTAAGGAACTGCTTTATGGAGCTATAAAAGTATTAAACTAAACATGATAAATATCAATATTAAACTAAATATGGTAAATACCAAAAATATATATGACAATATTTGGGAATTTCTTATATATTCATTAATCTCCAAAGTGGAGTATATATAGGAGTTACAATTGGTATTACATATGTACTTCACCAATGTGGGATAATAAACTACTATTTACACTTTAACTAATATATAACTCGCAACACTCCCCCTCAAGTTGGTGCAAAGATGTCACGCATACCCAACTTGTCAAGCGAGTTGGAAAACACACTATTAGACACAACCTTAATAAGAGTATCAACAAGTTGATCTTCAGATCCCACAAACAGAAACATAATAATTCCAGCATCCAATTTTTACTTAATGAAATGTCGATCAATCTCCACATGTTTTGTTCGATCATGTTGCATTGGATTATGAGCAATCTAAATAGCAGCCTTGTTATCACAATGAAGTTTCATAGTACCTTTGGGTTTAAACCCAAGATCTCTCAACAATTTTTTCAACCACAACAACTCATATACACCATGAGACATACCACGAAACTTAGCTTCTGCACTTGACCTAGCCATCACTTTTTGTTTCTTGCTTCTTCAAGTAACTAAATTACCACCCACAAACGTAAAGTATCTAGATGTAGATCGCCGATCAGTGATAAAACCTGCCCAATTTGCATCTGTATACCATTCGACATTCAAATGACCATTCTTGGAGAAAAACATGCATCTGCCAGGAGCCATCTTCAAGTACCTCAAAATACGGGTTACTTCATCCATATAAGCTTCACAAGGTGAGTGTATAAACTGACTTACCACACTAACTGCATAAGCAATGTCAGGGCAAGTGTGAGACAAATAAATTAATCTCCCCACAAGCCTCTGATACCGTTCTTTATGAGTAGGAACTTCATCTGGAAATAAGCCCAGACAATGATTCTACTCAATCGGAGTATTAACAGGTTTGCAATCTAACATACCTGTTTCAGCTAACAAATCCAGAACATATTTCCGTTGAGACAGAAAAATACCATGCTTGGATCGTGTAACCTCGATTCCAAGGAAATACTTCAATTCACCCAATTCTTTCATCTTAAACTCAGTAGCTAGGTACTTTTGAAGGCGTTGTATCTCCTTCTGATCATCACCAGTTACTATCATGTCATCAACATAAATAATCAATGCAGTTAACTTACCATTTTGTCACTTTAGGAACAAAGTATGATCTTAATGACTCTGGATATACCCAAACTTCTTCATTGAACTTGTAAACCTCCCAAACCACGCTCTAGGAGATTTTTCAACCCATACAAGGCTTTTTGTAACCTGCATACAACACATTTTCTAGGAGATGTTCCAATACTAGGTGGGAGATCCATATACACTTCCTCCTTAAGATCACCATGAAGGAAAGCATTTTTAACATCAAACTGCAACAGAGGTCAATCCTAGTTTGTTTCTAAGGACAGAAAAACACGCACAGTATTAAGTTTGGCAACAGGAGCAAAGGTCTCCTGATAGTCCACCCTATAGGTTTGAGTATAACCCTTAGCAACTAATCTGACTTTATACTGGTCAATAGAACCATATGCTTTGTGCTTAATAGTAAACACTGATCTACATCCAATGGCTTTCTTCCAGTTTGGTAAAGGAACCAAATCCCAAGTAGAATTCTTTTCCAAAGCTTCCATCTCAACTTTCATGGCATTAACCTACTTAGGGTCAGACAAAGCATCTTGCAATTTTGTTGGAATTGATACACTAGATAGCTAACATATGTAAGATGTATATGGTTTGGACAAACGATGATTAGACACATAATTGTTGATAGGATATTTGGCTTTGGCATGCATATCAGGCTCATATTGTACTTTAGGTTTTCCACGATTAGCTCGTGGAGGCAACTGATAAGTAGAAGAATCGTCAGAATTTACCTCACGTATGCCACCATCTTGTACCAAACTGTTAGAAGAATCATCACTGGACGAACCATCATCAGGAAACTCGTTAGACATATCAGCAGCAGGCAACGGATTATAAAAGGTAATTCGTCAGACATACTAACAGGTAATTCATTGGGCACTTCTGATTTGTTTTCAATAGAAATAGTTTCGGGAATAACAGGTGACCGATCACTATTTGTAGTCGACTGATCAGTATCACGCAACATATAGGTTCTGTTCCCAACTCTGCCTGTAACACATCATCCATACCATCTTTTCGAATCTGCACTTCATTCTCCCTCTCCCCCTGAAGTAAAGAGTCGGAAGAGGGCTTCACAAAATACGAAACTTCCTCATGGAATGTGACATCCATGGTAATATAAGTTTTTTTAGTCGAAGGATGATAACACTTATAGCCTTTTTTATTATTAGCATACCCAAGAAAGACACATTGGAGAGCACATGCATCAAGTTTACTCCGCTGATGAGAGTGGACATGCTTATACGCAATACACCCAAACACTTTCGGAGGAAGCTTTGATATAGAAACAAGAGAAACATGTTTTGTAGCACATCGAACGGTGTCTGAAAATCAAGAACCTTACTTGGAACACGATTGATCAAATACACAGCAGCCAAAACATCATGACCCCACAAATGATTAGAAACACATTTATCCAACATCAAGTAGCGAGCAACCTCCATTATTTGACGATTCTTCCATTCGGACACACCATTTTGTTGGGGTGTAAACGGAGTAATCGTCTGATGAATAATACCATGATCACGAAAAAAACATGCCAAAGTGTGATTCACATATTCTCCTTCGTTATTAGACCTGAAGACCTTAACTTTGGTCTGAAACTGAGTATACACCATTGTACAAAATTCTTGAAGAAGTAACGGAACATTAATCTTATTCTTCATCAAGAACACCCAAGTTAACCGAGTACAATCATTAATAAAAGTAACAAACCAATGGAATTCATTAGAAGTAACTTTCGCCGGATCCCACACATCAGAATGTATCAAATCAAATGGTAAAGTAGTTTTAGAATCACTTACGGGAAAGGAAGCACGATGACTCTTAGCCATGACACATGTTTCACACTTGAACTCTGAACCACTACAAGTGCAAAACAAAGAAGGAAATAGATGCTTCCGATAACTGAATGATGGATGTCTCAATCGTCGATGCCATAACCAAATTTGATGTTTGTCATCCACTTTAGCACTTAAAACTTGATGATTATTTGAACCGGAAACAACAGTATCCTCCATAGTTAAGATGTACAAACCTTTAATTTTTTTACCATGATCAATTATCTTCTGAGTTTGAATGTCTTGAAAATGACAATACATAGGGTAGAAGTGAACAGAACAATATAAGGTATCAAGAAGTTTTCCAACTGACAAAAGATTGCACTTAACATCAGAAACAAGTAAAGCACGAACCAGTGATAAGGTTGGAGTCAGAGAGATAGTGCCTTCACCCTTCACAGGGGAATGTGCTCCATTTGCACTAGTAATATACGGATCACAAACATAGTCACATAACTCATCAAACACTCTAGGGTCACTAGTCACATGATCAATGACCCCAGTATCAGTTATCCATTTATTTGTTCCACCAAGATGCATAACAACACTATGATTATATTGAGCCATTGAACAAAATCATGAACAATAAAGGCACAAAAGATACGCAGCGGAATAAAAACAATTTACTAGAGCACTGTAGGAGCAGACTGTTCACGGCACTGTAGCAATCACTGTTTACGCACTGTAGAGGACCATTGTTCATGCACTGTAGCAAAGTGATGTACTATAGCACGACACTATTCACTTTTTTTTTCCTCTCTCACGAAGGAAATCACAAAAAGTGTGGGCACAAAATTAAAGTACATAGGTCACCAAGAACGAACTGCTCGGATGTCATATTAAACTAAACATGGTAAATACCAATATTAAACTAAACATGGTAAATACCAAAAATATATATGACAATATTTGGGAATTTCTTATATATTCATTAATCTCCAAAGTGGAGTATATATAGGATTTACAATTGGTATTACATATGTACTACACCAATGTGAGACAATAAACTACTATTTACACTTTAACTAATATATAACTCACAACAAAAAGTAATGGCAAATCCGATCTTATAAGTAATCCTCAAGTAGTTAGTTTAATAGATGATAGGATCTTCTGATTTCATTGTTACTGCGGAAAACAATTCAAAATTTTGTTTACTTTACTGTCAAAAATTCAAGCTCCTATCTTTCTGTTGTGATAAAATTTCAAAAACATTTTCTTCTTATTTGGTTAAAACGAATCCTTGATAAAGCGGCATTTTGATGCATGTGTTGGATAATAGACTGCTGGCTTGTACAGCAAGGAAACATCAGAGTATATGTCCTGAGGGTACTTAAATATAATCATATTGATGATGCTTATCCACAGGGGCGGATCCACAGTGGGGTCGTCGGGGTCGAACGACCCCTTCGAAACCATGGAAACAACCTTGAAGCTCCCATATGCGACCTCTTGGAGCTGGGGTCGTCGGGGTCGTCAGGAAGAGGAAGAAGAAGACTCGGCAGGAAGAGGAAGAAGAAGCAGCTCGCGCGCTTCTTTTTTTTTCAAAACAGACGGGCAAGCTGGGAAAGCTGGGTTCTGAGAGAGAAGAACTCGAGCTGGGAAAGCTGAAAACAGGAATCGATAACCCATTAAGAAAAAATGATAAAGAAAGCCATTGATGTGTAAAATCTAGAACTAATTGCGGAGAATAGGGGGGGTTTTAAGGGATAATTTCTTTTAATTAAACTTTCACTTTAACCTTTATTAAACTCATAATTTAATTGGACATGGTAGTTTTTAATCCTTGTAGTGCGAAAACCAAAGTCCGAAAAACCACTCACTGCAAGAGATCAAATCTTCTGCACCCAAAATGGATGTGGCCTCTCTGTGGCTCCAATGAATGTCTGACACCTATTAAATATCTTAACTTTTCTTAATTTTGTTTTTATGAATTTAATAGGTGGCAGACACTCATTGGGGCCACAGAGGCCACACCCAAGAAGATTTCTCCTCACTGCGATGGTATAATTTTCACTAAAACTCATCGCATACACAAATCTACTAGTCCTTTTGTTATCATCATGGCATGATCTATAACGTGAGTTTAGTTAAAATTCCAAAAACCCAATAATTAAACAAATCTAACACCAAAAAAAACAAAAACACCATAATTGGGACAATTTAATTCCATTAATTCTAAGGGAATTATCCAAGATCGACCATAACACACAATTCAGATTGGGTCTCCACAACAGACAACCTAAATTTTTATTTGAACTTTTACACTGCGACCCCTTGGGGTAAGATTCCTGGATCCGCCACTGCTTATCCATAGTGTATATTACTAAATTTGCTATAATTTCCCTTCGTGGCAGAGCAATTTCTGAATATCTGTCCCGTGACCTTCCATACAAGTTAACATCTGATGATGTTTTCGTCACGTCTGGTTGCACGCAAGCTATTGATATCGCGTTGGCTATGCTTTCTCGCCCTGGTGCCAATATCTTGCTTCCAAAGCCATGCTTCCCTATCTATGAACTTTGCTCTGCTTTTAGACATCTTGAAGTTAGACATTTTGATCTCCTGCAAGAGAATGCCTGGGAGGTTGACCTTGATGCTGTTGAAGCTATTGCAGATCACAACACGGTTGCAATGGTAATTATAAACCCTGGGAATCCTTGTGGGAATGTGTACAGTTACCAACATCTGGAGAAGGTTAGTTGTCAATGGTATCACATATGAACAAAAGATTGTACAGTGAGAGACCAGTTTAGGTTATTGACACTGGTTATCGTTGTAACCTATTGTTTTTGTATCAAACTTAGGTCGCAGAAACTGCAAACAAGCTTCGAATTCCTGTAATTGCTGATGAAGTTTATGGGCATCTCGCCTTTGGGGATAAACCATTTGTGCCAATGGGTGTTTTTGGATCAACTGTTCCGGTTCTTACTCTCGGGTCCCTGTCAAAGAGATGGATAGTTCCTGGATGGCGACTTGGTTGGTTTGTGACGACTGATCCATGTGGCATGTTTGGAACACCCAAGGTTCTCTCTCTCAGAATTATGAACTCCATATAAATTGATTTACGTACCATTAAATCCAAACAATCACCGTGCATCATCTATTGAATATGCATAGCCACTCTCTCTGCCATTTTAGTGCACTTCATGAGTACTATCTCAAGATTTCCTAAACCAGTTTATAGCACTAAATGTTATCGTAAAAGTCTAATGGATTTTCCATATGGCCCCTAGTCTCTTGTGGATTCAATAGCTTTGCAGATCCATCGGTTTAGCAGTTTGATGTTGTCAAGTTCCACTTATACTGTTACAGATATTCACATCTCATGGATAAAACTTTGTTCTACTGACTGAAAATCATCATGATTTTTATAATTACATCATCCACTTCTAGTTTTGACATATACTATTCTGTTCAGGTTATTGAGCGCTTTAAGAAATATTTTGACATTTTGGGAGGGCCTGCAACTTTCATTCAGGTTTGTACCTTATATGCTTGTTTTGAATCGCTCAAACACAGTAATTAGTTTTCTTGCTTAGTAGACTAATTTGATTTTAAGGTCATGCCACTGTGCGGCTTCTGTCCTCTGGAACTACTATTTCTTAAAGCTCTTTCCAGATTGCTATAACAAAAGACAACTTCTAATAGCTGTTTAGTTCAACATTTACTCATAATTCCTCAGGAATTTTAGTCAAAACGCGAAAAACACAACATATTATTTGCATGCTTAAAGCTTTTATTTGAGTACTAACTTTATAGGCATTAGGCAGCAGTTCCTCGCATCCTTGAAGAAACCGAAGAGATCTTCTTCAAGAAAACTCTCTATTTCCTGAAGCAGTCCTCAGACATTTGCTGGGATAGGATAAATGAGATCCCTTGTCTTACCTGTCCAAGCAAACCAGAAGGATCCATGGCCGTAATGGTGAGAAATAACGGAATCACAATTGTTCATATACTATAAATTCAACATTCTAATACATCTTTGCTTATTAATTTTCCCTGCAATGCAGGTGAAACTAGACCTTTCACTACTGGAAGATATTAATGATGATATCGAGTTTTGTTTCAAGCTCGTAAAAGAGGAAAGCGTGATCTTTCTTCCAGGTAAGAAATTAATGAACATTCAGAAACATAGTTTCCATGACATTTGTCTTGTTTACAAGCATCTCGCTGACTAACAAACGGAGATTATGTGTGTATTGCAGGAAAAGCAGTAGGGCTGAACAACTGGATACGCATTACATTTGCTGCTGATCCATCTTCCGTTGAAGAAGCTTTGAGGAGGACAAAGTCTTTCTGTCAAAGGCATGCCAGAAAATTATCGCTATATGACATAAATGCCATCAACAAGAAATGCTGAAGCCATTTGTGATGTTTTTACTTTTTGTATGCCACTGTCAATTTGTAATGAATTAATAATAATGCATCGTACGTGTCTTGGATGCTATACCCTTAAACACCATGCCAATAAGTTCTCAAGAGATTGAAACAAATAAAGAAGCAAAGGTACCTTCTTGTTCGGGCTAGATCTGTCCCTCGCACAACTCCCCTGGGTCTTGCCTGTTGAGCAAGGTTTGTTGCTTGGTATACTACAATATGAGTTTCCTATTAGTTTGAAGGGTGCATTTATGGAGCCTTTGTTAGGCCTTGAGGCTCACAAACAAAACTAATATGGATCTAAGCATGCCACTATTATCTTTGTATAACATATTGTTCTTTTTAGTTATTAAATGGATTGATTATTTGCACCACAAGTTACTTCGACTTCTTAGTTCGATTGGATTGTTCACAGATGGGTTAAGTTTGTATAAAGATCCTTTTACAAGGACTTTACTCATAATATCATATGTCCAATTAAGGGGAGTCAAAGACCCTTCAAGTTATTTCTTTAGTTACAATTTTAGACTAACAATAAAGAAGAAAGATTAATCAGTTTAGTAAGATTAATCATAGATGATACTTTGAATGAAGGTAGTTGAAAATGATATAGGATCCAATGAAAGATGCATAAACAACAGATCTATTTTATGTAAGTACAAACAAAAGAGACTCGGGCAAGATTACAATCTTGTCAGGCAAGGTTCGTCTTCTTCCAGCCACTTCTCTTTGTGTTTTACAGGAGTTAAAGTCTTTGAAAATGGAACATAACCCAGGTTTACCTAAGGAGATTCGATAATACAACATAGAGAAAGGTGACAAAAGATAGCTTTCTATGGTAGACCTGTGACTAAAAAGGGTAAAGCTTGAACAAACTAAAACTTTCTAGTTTCTTACTGTTGGAGTGCAAAGTTGAATGTCTTTTGATTGATTAGTTGAGAGAGCCTTCTATTTGCATCCTTTACTACTTTTATAAACTTTCCCGATTGTCCAAGCCTTCCCTTTCAGTGATGGCTCCCTGAGTATGGTGAGTCACCATCTAATATTGTTATTTACCTATACATGCCATGGAAAAGTACTTTTTGCTGGGGGTGAGTTGCCCTCTGTCACTTCACTTCACATAGGCTTGTTGCCTATTTCTTGGGGAAAAAATGATTTTCAATTCTTCCTGAGCTGCCAACTGTCCAAGCCCAATTCTCCTACTTTTCGCATTCTTGGGCCTTCAACCACACTAAGCCCAACATTAAATATCCACTTAAACACTTCCCCTTCTACATTTTCCTTTCTTCACATTCTGCGATGTTATCGATTAATTTTGAGGTTATCTTACAAGTAGACTTGGCATTCGTGTCGTGTTTTCCGTGTTCGTGTCGTTTTCGTGTCATACCCGATATCTTAACGGGTCGTGTCGTGTAACACGCGTTAAAATAAACGGGTAAAATGACCCGACCCGAAATCGACCCGATAATATTAACAGGTAATATGACCCGACCCGTTACCCGTTAAGGAAAATATATTTTAAACCAATAAATAATCAAATGAAAAACATAATACTAAATAAGTATATACATTTCATATTATCACATCCAAAACATAAAAACGCAATTTTGTTTTAAGTATATTTTCGCTTACCTAAAGTCTTTAATAGTTTTTTAATTAATGTAGAAGTGTAAACAAATATAGAAAAAAATATATAAACACTCGTAATGTCAAGCTTTATAACTTTCATGAAGAGCTTAACTTCAAAATTCGCCACTATAATCATATAAATCATAGATCAAAATTTAACCGTTGATTGTTGTTTACATTTATGCTTCATTGTTCTCATCAAATTCGTTTTTTTAGATTTTCTTTTTTGAAAACATGATCTATTAGAGGGTGCAGGTAGATGAACGGTTTGGATCGTTGGATCGCTGATATTATATTTACGGTTAGTGAAAATATTGCTTGATGTTTATAAAGTTTCTACAAATTATATGACATTGACTCATATTTCAGTTAATCGTAAATATCGAAACGTGATATCATCTTCTTACATCCACCAGATGATCATGTTTTCAAAAAATAAAAAATTTTAAAAATGAAAATTCAGTCAGAAGAATAAAGTGTAAATAAACAATTAACGGTTAAATAAAAATTTAAGGCTTTCACTACTACTACAAAATTATCTATTGCTGGCGGTCCAAAAAACTTTTTTCAACGATCCAACCGTCAAACTTATTTGTACACATTCCAAGATTGCATACGTAAAAAAATCTTTAAAAAACAAACATTCAGAGATTACGTAACGGAACAAAAGTTTTTGACGGTTATAAACGAAAAATCACAAATTTAACGGTTATTTTAGCTCCGATCTTGATGAATTTTTTACAAATACACTCCTCGACCCTAAAGAATGTAATGAATAAATTTGATCTTTAATTTTTAAAGTAATTACACTAGTGGATACACAAAAACTATATTTTATACTTAATAGAAGTAATATATTAACTCTAAGTGTTTGTTTAATCTACATTTTGACGCAATATGCATTCTACGAAACTTTTTTCAAACGATCCAACCGTCAAAATTATTGTGCACACATTTCGAAGATCACATACGTAAAAAATCGTAAAAAACAAACATTCAGAGATTACGTAACGGAACAAAGTTTTCAACGGTTATAAATGAAAAATCACAATTTAACGGTAATTTGAGCTCCGATTTTGATGATTTTTTACAAAAACACTCCTCGACCCTAAGAATGTAATGAATAAATTTGATCTTTAATTTAAAGTATTTACACTAGTGGATACCACAAAAACTTATTTTATACTTAATAGAAGTATAATATTAACTCTAAGTGTTTTGTTTAATGTACTGTTTTGACGCAATATGCATTCTACAACTTTTTTCAACGATCCAACCGTCAAACGTATTTGTACACATTCCAAGATCGCATACGTAAAAATCATAAAAAAACAAACATTCAGAGATTACGTAACGGAACAAAAGTTTTCGACGGTTATAAAAGAAAAATCACAATTTAACGGTTATTTTATCTCTGATTTTGATGATTTTTTACAGATACACTCCTTGGCCCTATAAGAATGTAATGAATAAATTTGATCTTTAATTTAAAGTATTTTACACTAGTGGATACCACAAAAAACTTATTTTACTATACTTAATAGAAGTATATATTAACTCTAAGTGTTTTTGTTTTAATCTACCATTTTGATGCAAATATGCATTCTACGAAGCTTTTTTCAACGATCCAACCGTCAAAAATTATGTACACATTCCAAGATCGCATACGTAAAAAATCATAAAAAACAACAACAGATTCAGAGATTACGACGTAACGGAAACAAAAGTTTTCGACGGTTATAAAACGGAAAATCACAATTTAACGGTTATTTTAGCTCCGATTTGATGAATGCATTTTACAGATACACTCTCCTCGGACCCTATAAGAGAATGTAATGAATAAATTTGATGATCTTTAATTTAAAAGATTATTTACACTATGTGGATACCACAAAAACTTATTTTATACTTATAGAAGTATAATATTAACTCTAAGTGTTTGTTTAATCTATTCCATTGATGAGCAAGAAAATATGCATTCTACGAAAGCTTTTTTCAACGAATCCAACCGTCAAAATTATTTGTACATTCGTTTCCAAGATCGCATAATACTATAAAAAAAATCGTAAAAAACAAACAGATATTCAGCAACGGATACGTATGGAACAAAGGTTTCGACGGTTTATAACTGAAAAATCACAAATTTTTACGGTCTGAGTTATTTATCATTCTGATTTTGCATGAGATTTTTTTACAGAGATAATATCCTCGAACCTATAAGAATGTAATGATATAAATTTGATCTTTAATTTAAAGTATTTACCCTAGTGGATACCACAAAAACTTTTTTAACTTAATAGAAGTTAAATAGATTAACTCTAAGTGTTTGTTTAATGTAACTGTTTTGACGCAATATGCATTATACAAACTTTTTTCAACGATCCAACCGTCAAACTTATGTTTGTACACATTCCGAGATCGCATACGTAAAAAATCATAAAAAACAAACATTCAGAGATTAAGTAACGAACAAAAGTTTCGACGGTTATAACGAAAATCACAATTTAACGGTTAGTTTTAGCTCCGATTTTGATGATTTTTTTACAGACTACACTCCTCGACCCTAAAGAATGTAATGAATAAATTATTTGATCTTTATTTAAAGTATTTACACTAGTGGATACCACAAAAACCTATTTTATACTTAATAAAAGTATAATATTAACTCTAAGTGTTTGCTTAATCTACCGTTTTGACGCAATATGCATTCTATGAAACTTTTTTTAACGATCCAACCGTCAAACTTATTTGTACACATTCCGAGATCGCATATGTAAAAAATCGTAAAAAACAAACATTCAGAGATTACGTAATGGAACAAAAGTTTTCGGCGGTTATAAACGAAAAATCATAATTTAACGGTTATTTTATCTCTGATTTTAATGATTTTTTACAGATACACTCCTCGACCCTATAAGAATGTAATGAATAAATTTGATCTTTAATTTAAAGCATTTACATTTTTTTATATATGAGTGATTTTATATATATATTTTTACATTTTTTATGACACACCCTAACCCGAAGACTAGGACGTGCTGGCCGTCACGTGAGCGTGACGTAACCATAAACGCAAGCGGAAACGATTAAATAATATACGAGTCAACGAAAACCACTAAATGCAGTTATTTACAACCTAGCATTCTATGTGCATAAGAGTGTACTAAACACACATAAACAGAGCATAAGCGTCTAGGTGCAGTCAAGTAGAACCGTAACTAATTTACAACACCCTCGGGTGAAATCCTACATTTATTTAGTCTGTCAGAATGCCGAAGTAGTCCTCGTAGGCCACCAACGCCTCAACTATCAACTAGAACCTGGAGGGGCGAAAAACAGAAAACGTGAGTGGGCGAAAATAAAGCTTTTCCAAATCATTTCATAAATCCACAATTATAACCCCTTTTTGGAAAACCTGTATACTTTCCCAGAAAAATAGTATATAGCATATATATATCTCAACCAATCTCGATCATCAATCTTATAACAGATTCAATAAAGAATGTACCATGC